GTTTGGAACGGAGGTGGAAACAGGTTCCTTTGTATGAGAGGAAGAAAAGAGAAGAAAAGGGGGTTGCTTCAGCTTAATTGATCCAGAACTGAGACAAAGCATGGAAGGCAGCAGTTTTTAACTGGGAAATCCATTTGCTTGGCATGCTGATTATTACTTGCATACATTAGCCATTGATTTTAAACAGCTTTCGGATCTCGCTGAGGGACCCACCTGAATATCCCACATTTGTTCTACTCTGAAGAGTTAAAAAGGCCCAAAGGCCTTACAGTAATGCATTTCACTTGTTCTTACCTCAGTGGCAGAAGATCAAGTAAAACTTAACCCTTTTAGAACATAAAACCAAAGAGCTGGAAGGACCCTCAGAAGCCTTCTAGTCCAATCCTGCTCAAGGCAGGAAACCTTATTCTACCCTGGTCAAATGGTTGCCCGTTCTATCTTTGAAAACCTCCAGTGATGGAGCACCCACAACTCTGGGAGACAAGCTGCTCCACTGATTAATTGTACTCCCTCCTTTTTCCTCCAACTACACTGCAGGAATTTGCTGAATTAACCCTGCAGGGCTCTAAATACGCTAGATAAGCCTTAAATTTTCAGTAGCAGAAAATATTTTTAATGGAAGCTGGCGCAAAAAGGGGGCAGAATCAAGAACCAAACAGTCCGTGAAGCTCAGTAGGGCAAGATCCACACGTGAGATTTATAGCATCAATCTATAGCAATGGAAAGCTTGTCTTCATTAATGGTAGATAGATCGCCATAGCAACGGCTGGGCGTCGCAGTAAAATCACTAGTGTAGAAATGGGCTGGGACAGCTACTTAATTTACTGGTTTCATTAGGACAAAGTATGTGTGCCTTATGAGAGGTGCGGGATTGTAGTTCCTATGGAAGAAGGGATGGGGTGAGGACATTAAGTTTACCAACAGGTACTTGTGGAGGAAGGGAGAGAAAACCAATCTCTCCCAAACTCCTTGATTTTGAGAGGAATGATAGGAATTTATTGAACGTTATCCCGGAGTCAGTTATCTAAAAAAAATCGTAGCTGAATAAGTTGTTCTCTCCACACATATCTCTTCTCTCTCTTAGCCGATTCCCATGCCTAGATGTGCACAACGTACTTAGCCCAATTATTGAATTATTTTTTGTGTTCTGCATACATAACACATCGAACATAAAGCGACTAAGCTATGGGAGAGAGGGAGGGAGAGGGGGGGAGGAAGGAAAGGCTTTAATTAAAATGAAAACTAACCCAACTTCAACTGACTTAATCCAGTGTGTTGACTAATATAGCTATAGTGTGCGTGTGTGTATATGTGTGTGTATGCGCGCACGCCCCTAAAGAATGTGATGCCTGTTCTGCTGGCAGGGCTTTTAAAAAGATCTTGAGAAAAGCTGTTAATTGCTCTCTCGTTTTAATTATTCCCCAGAAGGCATTTTTCTCTATGCTAGAATATCGTCCCCACCTCCCGAATATCAATAACATGTGTGCACTAAAGACAACTACTTGCAAATGGGTTTCAAGATCATTATCATATATTTGCATAATGCCACCGTGAAACAAATGCCTTAAACAGCAAGCAAACAAAAACACGAACTCTAGAGAGCTGATTTACGAAACGTGCAGTGGACTGAAATAGAAAGGAGGGAAAGGGAGATAAACAAAACAAATAAACAAACTAGAAGAGAGAAAGCAAAGAGACTTATTACAGTAATCGGTTTGGGAAAATATACTATATTTGGCGAAATAAGTGGAAGAACTGGTATTTCAAAATTAAACTAAATACTCCTTATCGTGAGTGAATTTCTGCCTGTTTCTTCTGATAGGTTTTGAATGATCCACAGTAGTAAACAAAACATGAATTTTTCGCCCTGTACAATTTCGAAGAGGGAATCCTGGTCAGACAGGCCTGGTTTTACAGACCAGTTGCCTAATAATAACGGTGCGCGGTTGTTCCCTGCTTTACTGGATTCAGACGCGAGCCTACGGCTTTCCACTCCAGGATTGAGGAATAAGGTTTATTTAGCTACCGGGCAGACGAGGCGCTTTCCTTAGCGCACTAACAATCGTGGTGGTGATGAAGATAACATCGATGATTGTGATGATGATGATGATGGTGGTGGTGGTGGTGGTGGTTGGGAGGGAGGGAACTAGTCTTCAGTCTGCCCTCATTTTGTTATCCTCGCCCGAGATAACAGAAACGGTAGTCTGGGTCACAGGATGGGCTTCTTAGCCCTGGCCTAGGGTTGAATGTACAAGGTGCGAATCTCACATCCTCAAGGGGTACAAAACTCGCGTTGACAGAGTCGGGCCTCTTCAAAAACAGCTTGTATGTTTTCCATCCAATCGGCCCGACCAAGAATATCGTCCATATTGTCCCAAACCGAAAGACCATTCCCACATGCAAGGTTACGATATTCACCCGTCCTTCCAGCCTCGCACCGACTGTTTTGGAGATCCCAACAAAAAGGCAATGGGTCAGGGAGACCAATTGGGATTAAGACGCTCGAAATCGATGGCAGCTCCATACCATCTTGCTGTACTGGACAAGAGGGGGAACGGGGGGGGGTCCTTTCGAGGTACCCTCGCGCAGTTGCAGTATTGTAACTCAAGCCTGCCGCTATGGTTGACCTGGGCACTGCGGGAGAACAGTTTGATGTCGAGACTTCGATTAAGACCCCTTTCCTCCTTAAGCACCCATCCGAACAGGAAGGCGGAAGGACACAACGGGGAAAGAATCACTGAAAAGTGTATTTATTCTCGACACTTGGGATCTTTAAAAAGCTTGCTAGGGAATAGAGTCCTTTGGACCCAGTGGGTTTTACCTGGAAAGAAAGATGGATGAGTATTGCTCGGGAAGATATTTAATGAGACGCACACGCGCTACTCGCTGGGTGGCCAGATCCTCACAGAAGCTTGTAATGACTGACCCTTCCTTATCTCACGACCTGAGGGCAAGTGAGAAAGCGGGGGCGGTTCCTGGCGGAAGGGGTCTCCTCCCTCCCTCCCTCCCCCCCTCTCTCTAGGCTAAAAGCTCAAGGAAAGTCTATCGTTTTTATTGCAAGGAAAATTGAACTTGGCGTGGGAGGTTTTCCGCACAACTTCCGACTGTGGCAAATTAGATGCAGGTCTTTGGCCAAAAGAAAAGTCAGCCTTCCCTGTCTAGTGCGGCGCGTCGATCCAAGCGCCAGAGCCCCCGCCGAGTCTTTTCGCGCGGTCTTTAAGCTGGACTAGTAACTTTTTTGTTTTGTTTTAAAGGAAATGCTACTACTGCCCGTTTGTGAGGCTTGCTCCAGCAGCGGCTCGCGTTCCCCACAAGGCCGCTTCCCTTCCTCTTCCGTTTCCCAATCGCAATATTGTATTCCCTCATCCCAGATTTTTAGAGCAAGTACTTTCCTTACAGAGACTTTGCTTTGCCATTCCCACAGCCACCCGCACCCCCTCTCCCCCGGAGGCAAATCGCATTAATTTCATTGGAACGTACGAATGTACAAAATTTAATTTATTTGCATCAATGTAAGAAAAAGGAAGAGCGGGAGGAGGAGGAGGGGGAGGAGCTACAGTTGGGTGCCCGCCATTCCCTCCTCTGCTTCTTTCTAATCAGAACTAGTTCCTGTTTTGTTTTTTTTCCCACCTGCTTCTGAAAACAGTTTTGAGAGCCAGATATTCTTCTTGAAAGGGCCTGACGAACTTTAGAGGGAGGAAAGAGCACTCTGAGACCTAGGATTTTTTTTCCCCCAAAGGGTTAAGGAAACGGTTTGGATAAACCGAATCGAAAGGCGCGAGAAAAATTTGGACGTTCGGTAGCAACGATTTAACATTTGCGGGATTAATTCAACCACGGGGGGGGGGGAGAGGAAGAGGAGATGTGAGGGGGAAACTAAAAAAGTGGGATCTCCTTTTTTTGAGACCCGATCATTTTAAGACGAAATTCTGGGGAAACGAATTCTCCCTGCCCCAGCGGTTACAGCAATGCGTTCTTTGCTTTATCAAAAGGAAGGGACAGTGGCAGTTCTCCACAGCGGCTCTCCAGCCCTCTCGTTGCCTCCTCTTTCTGGCAAGGCAGCGGCTTTTCTGGAGACACGAGGCCGCCTCGGGTAGGTCAGCGCCCGGGTCTTTAATAAGGCGTGTCGAAGGAGAAACGGATATCCACGGGTCCTTTTCGGTGCCCGCGTGGAAAATTGCACCCTCACCCTGTCCCCTCAGGTGGGGCTGGCTCTTTCAAGGATTGACAGACGCCACGGCTGAGACCGGACAGTCTCAGCAGGGTGACTCGGTAAGGGAAAGTTCCTTGAAATGGAGACCTTCCCTAGTCCTACAAGAAGATAAGGCGTTCTCGCCGAAGTGTCAATGATGCAGCTATTAATGGGGATTATTAGAACCGCCGTCATTCTCCACGCGCCTGTGCGTCGCTTTTGCCAAGAAACAACCTGTTGTAAACACAAGACTTGGGAGAGGCGCCGCTCCCAGAAGACCTAGAGCGGAGTTGCAGCTTCAGGCGGGCGGATCGCTCAACGAGCGCCTAGCTCAGCTGCAAACCCGACGCCCTACAGGTGGCAGGGAAGCCCCAGCTCCTCCCCAACGCAACCGTGGACTCGAGTCAGCCGCCTTGCCCGCCGCCACGGGCCGCCGCTCGCTTAGCGCTTCCTCGGCGACGAGGCGCGAACTTTCCCCCTTCTTTCTCTCCCTTTCTCTTTTTTCCGCCGAGGGCAACTATTTCGGCGGAGGGAGGGGAAAGAAGGAGCTCGAGCAAGTGCGAAAAAAAAAAAAAGAGGGGGAGGGGGAGAGGACGCAGGCAGGAGCGCGAGGGCGGTTCCCCGCTGAGCGCCCGGCCTGAATGGGAGCCAATCGCGCTGCCCTGGCCTCTGCCAATCATCGGTCTCCCTCCAATCCCACCCGCGCACATTTCCAAACTCTGGTTCCCAACCGCGCCGCTCAAATGTGCCGAACGCTCTGCCAATCGCTGGAGGCCAGAGCGGGGAGCGGATGGAATGAGCAGCCGAGTTGGGAAGCGGAGGAGACAAAAGAAGTTAAAGAGCTGCTTAATCGCTCCATGTTTGGCAAGGCGGCGGCGCTGGTGACGGTGGCGGCGGCGGCGGGCAGGGGGAGGAAGGCTTCAGCCCCCGCCGGGCTGGCCCAGGCCCGGGCTACCCCCGTGCGGCTCCATGGGCCATTGGGCGGCGGTGGCGGCATGGAGCCCGCGCTGAGTTGCAAGAGGAGCCCCAGCCTGCGCTTGGCCGACTCCCTCAGCAGCGGCAGCGGCGGCGGCGGCGGCGGCAGCAGCAGTAGCAGCAGCGCCACCGGCGGCGGCGGCGGCGGCTTCCATCCCCTGCACCCGGGGGACTTGGGCTCTTCGGACCCGGTTGCTACTGCCCCCTTCGGGCCTGAGCACGTGGCGGCGGCGGCGGCGGCGGCTATCAAGCTCAGCCCGGCTAGCCCCGAAGCGACTTTTGCCGCGGCCGCCTCTTTGCAATCCACCGGGAGCGGACGTGGCGCCAACAGCGCGGCTCCCGCCTCGGCTAGTCAGCCTTACGCGGCGGCGGGCAGGGAGCTGGCCCTGCGGCGGGAGGCGGGCGTGCGGGGGGATCCGCCGCAGCTCCACCAGCCCCCGGCGGCCGCCAGCTCGCCCATGTTCATCTCCTCGGCCGGCACCTACGGCGCTGGGGGGGACCTTCATGCCGCCGTCTTCCCGGGCCTGCACGAGCACCCCGCCGGGACCTCCGGTGGGCACCACTCGCTCAACGGCCAGATGCGCTTGGGGCTGGCTGTGGCTGCCGCCGCCGCCGCGGCGGAGTTTTACGGGCGCATCGAGCCCTTCCGCCCTTCGCCCGCCGTCGCCGCTGGCTCCGAAGCGTCCTACGGCCCTGCGCCGCACGGCTATCCGGTTAACTGGGCGGCGGCTGCCGCGGCTGCCGCCGCTTTACAGCAGCAACAGCAACACCACCGCTCTCACTCGCCTGCACATGCGCATCACGGGCCGCCGCCGCAGTCGCACCACGCGGGCGCCGCCGCCGCCTTCCTGCGCTACATGCGGCAGCCCATTAAGCAAGAACTGATCTGCAAGTGGCTGGAGGCCGAGGCGGGCGGCGGCGGCGCGCCCCCCTGCTCCAAGACCTACAGCACCATGCACGAGCTGGTCAACCACGTCACGATGGAGCACGTCGGGGGGCCTGAGCAGAGCAGCCACGTGTGTTTCTGGGAGGAGTGTCCCCGCCAAGGGAAGCCCTTCAAGGCCAAGTACAAGCTGATCAACCACATCCGCGTGCACACGGGCGAGAAGCCTTTCCCCTGCCCCTTCCCGGGATGCGGCAAGGTCTTCGCCCGCTCCGAGAACCTCAAGATCCACAAACGGACTCATACAGGTGGGTGGCTTCTTTCCTCGTGGCCGCCTTTCCCGGCTACGTCCCGCCACGCGGAGCTCGGCTTCTCTTTTCTCCCCTCCTCTCTTCTCCCCTCCCCTCCCCGCCTTTTCTCGTTCTCTGCGTCGGTTCAGACATGTGACTTTTTATCATGAATAAGTAATTTCTTGGGCGCGATCGCTCCACATGGCCGCGAGCGAAAGTGTCCCTGATACATCTATATTATGCCGTATCTCCGCGTGTGTGGGAGGTGCGGGAACCAACTTCAGAGCTCCAGCTGCGAGGCTCGGGCAGCTGGCGAGCTTTCCAGCTCCACAACACTCTTCGGCAGGCAGAGGAAGAGTGCTGGGGAGATCTGGAAAAGAAGCAAATGCCCGGGGAAGTGAGAAAACCACAGGAGTCCCCAGGAACCAAGAACGGGCGCTTTCTAAACTTTCTCTTCTCTACTGTCTTGTGAAATGGAATGTTGTTGGGTTTTTCCACTTAGCGTAGAGAAAAAAAATGTGACACGTCTTTCATGTGAATCCAGAGAGGCAAGTATGGTTGAGCCTGTAAGTCTTTGGGTTTTTTGGGGGGGGGGATTGCATTTTTATTTTCAAAATTTAGGCATAATTCTTATTTGTGCCTTTGTGGTTCTGGAGTGTTTTGGAGCCGTTTGATGGAAAGAGATGTAACGGATGTCTGCTGACCGAGGGGAAATTTTTACAGCGATCTCCAGAAGTGGAGAAGAACTCGTGGAAGGTGGGACGAGAGGGCCTGTGGGCTACTAAGGAGGGGGTGAGGCTTTTTAGTGGAACTGGGTTTTTTTTTTTTTTTTTTTTTTTTACGGCGCTGTTAACTTTTACGGCTTGGTTTTGATCTGCGACCGCCTTTTTGATTTTCCTTAAAAGGCAGTTGGGATTTACAGTGGCCCGTAGACAGATATTATCCACCGGAGACGTTTTATGGGGAAGGTGGGCAGCGCGGCAGGGGAGTTCACTTAATTGTTTTCGTGATTTATTGTGTGTTTGCTGCAAAGAGAGAGCCAGGCAGACAAGATGCAGTGCGCTTTGCAGCCGCCAAAGCAAATGGCCCCAGGCGGCAAGAGCAGTCGATTTTTAAGGGGGCGAATCTGCCCGACCATAAACCCATCTGGCTGCACTCAGCTGCCTCCTGTTCTTGCGCAGACTTCTCGGAGCCCTGTAGGGAAAGGCGGCCGGGGGGGGGGGGAAGGGGAAGCTGCGCGTGTCCCGCAGGTCGGAGAATAAATGATTCTTGAATCGCTCCAGCCCAGCGGCGGGATCTTTGCAGAAACTCTTTGTTTCTCGTTTTCTTTCTTGCCGGTGCTCGGCGGAGAGGCCAGGTAAGTTGGTGTGTGTGTGTGTGTGTGTGTGTGTGTGTGTGTGTGTGTATATCCAACTGATCTTCCCTCAACCGCACTTTGGGGGGGCTTCTCTTTGGGCCCCCCGCCACAGACGGATTGGCTGTTTTTTCAAGTCTTACCGCCCCGGGGTAGCTGTCGCTGAGAAGAGGCTGGGAAGAGGATCCCTTTGGCGCTAAAGGGAACCGGAATGGTGGGCTCGGACTCTGCCTGCTCGGTCAGCTCTAAGGGACGGAGGCGAGGAGGAAACGAACCCGAGGTTGGCCGACTGGAAAAGTCTCAGGAGAGCCGGCAAAGGAGCTGACGGGCTCTGCGGGCGCTGGTCGCGGTGCGTTCTTTCTCCTCCGAGCAGCGTTCCCGGACACCAGAGCCAGCCAGGATCCCGATAGAGGAGGCTCTTCCCCGCTCCAAGGAAGGAATGTATGCCTTTCCGTGCTGGGCTCAGCCTGTTCGCCGCCTTCGGGCTCAGGCAGAGGCAACGCTACGGGTTAGGCGGAAGGAAGCCGTAGCTGGGCCAGAAGAGCGGCCTCCTTTCCCGGCTGCTTCTCCCGAGGAGGCGGAGGAGGAATCGCTTCCGAATAAAGGCGAATATACCTGTCCCAAGATAATGTTGGGGGATCAAATCTGGGTCAGTCACCGGGACCAGAGTTTTTTTTTTTTTTCTACCAAGCTTTCGGACTCCTGCTGGAGCCCATCCTTGGGACTTCTCTCTAGCAGAGTGTGTGCTGTTCTGTGTGTGGTATTTACACGAGGCTTCTTGTGTGTGGGTTTTTTAGAGGTTGGGTGGGGTAGATGCTGGCTTTTTAAGTCCTTGCCTGATCTTTGCGTGTGCTGCCCAGCCCTCACCTTCTAAGTACTTGATATGCTGGTGGTAAATCAGCATTCCTGTTTACTGACAGAGCCCCCCCCCCCCGTTTCCCAGGCTTCAATCACTTCCCTGGCTGTTTTTGTGCCTGCTCGTCCAACAATCTTAGTAGCCGCAAAAGTCTGAATGTGTTACCTTCAACTCTGCAGCACTAAGACCTTTTCCTTTGACTGAAAGCTGGAGAAAGCTGGGTTTCTCAGGGCGCCGGAAAGACTCCTTCGGATCCACCAAGTCCTCTTCATTCTTCGGGGGGGGGGGGCGTTTCGAATGTTTTCCAGGAGAAAAGCGGACTATTTGCGAGCCTCTGCAAGCCGCGAATTCGTCCCGCCGGGAACAACGCCCCGACCCCCCACTATTCATAGCTACCGGAGGACGGAGCGAAAGCCCAGCGGTGCTGCTGCCGTTGCGCGTCCCTTGCCCTGAACTTTCCTCAGAAAGGAGGGCAAAAATCAACACAAGGCCGGCGGAGGCCTCTCGAGTTGGGATATTTGATCTTTGTGGCTATTATAAGGCTTCCCTTGAAACGCGGACCCCCCTTCCCAACCAGGAGGGATTGAATGCCAAACGCGCCAGGGAAAACACGCGAATGCGGGGGGGGGGGGAAGCGAAGTCTCAACGTGGGAACGCCTTAGCTCCTATGGGAGGATGTCTGCGAGAAAGGCCCCTGTCTCCTGAGGGAGCCTCGTATTGCAGGACTGGCTGGCCACGAGTCGCCTTCTCCCCAGGCGCTGCCGAAATCCCGGGTGGCGGAGGGCTGACACGGCTCAGGAAGTCTCTGCGCCGTCTGAACGATACGCAGTAACATTAGGAGAGGAGCGTCGGTGGGGGAACGGACGAAAGCGCCAATTTCGTTTCCACTTGCTCTTTTCTCCTTGGAACTAGGAGGCTGGGCTGGAACTAAGAAAGCGCCGCTTGCATTCGGGGCCCCTGCAAGAAAATATTTGCCTTGGAAAAGGGTTTCCCGTGGAATGTAGCGCCGGAAAGAGCAGATGGTGATTGTTTGCCGTAGTAAATAGGAGAAAAGCCTGCGGTTCTAGCTGGCATCCTCACCCCGCAGAGAGAGTCCCGTTGAACGGTGGGGCTCCCTTCTTGTGGCATAGTCTACCTGGTGAAAGATGCCACCTTTGCCTGTTGTTGGCTGCAAGAATTATATTTTCTGTTCTACCCATAAAATAGCAAAATAAGGCTCCCCCTTTCATATATATATATATATATATATATATATATATATATATATATATATATATATATATCTTTAGCAACAAAAACATTTAAACCTATTCATTTAGTTAATTCAATTGCATGAAGAGGCAGATTATTTTGCCTTCCACTGTATCTTTTACAGGAGAATTCTTGTTACCGTGGCACTTCTAAACAGGGGAAACTTAGAATTATGTCTGAATAGACAGCCTGAAGTTGCACTTATTATTAAGCTGCAGTTAAGCCTACCGAAAGGGAGTCACTATAGATTTCTGACATCACCCACTCCCCTGAAGGTGAGATACTTCTTGGACAGCAGACCCCTTCCTTTTATGAGGCTACTTGCTTTGCTCTTTTAGTGGATCGTTTCCCCAATCATTGGCAAGCAGTAAAGCAAAGCATGACAGAGGGGAAATTAATGCCTTCCTATTTGAGCAGGCAGCTGGCCTGAGAACTTAGTGGCTTAAAAAAAAAATACTCAGTTATATGTTTAAACAGCTGCTCTTGGAAGAAATTATGGCCAAATATTTTTTCTGAAGGTAGGTCAATTTTCCTGGGTAGCTTTTCCAAGCCCTTCCCTTCTTTAATCTCCAATTAATCATTTTTAATAAGAATGCAGAGCAGAGATAAGGAGCAGCTTTAGTTTTGTCCTAGAAGTGTTTTTCTCTGAAAGTCAGGTTGTGTTGGATCATTGTTCAGAAGATGTTCCTGGATGGATTGCGCTTTGGAGCAAATCTAAACCTTGACATGCTGAACTTATTACTAAGAGGTGATAGTGGTGATAATGCTGAAAAAGTGTGCACATGGCAGCAGGGTGGGGGAGGGGGATGAGAAAGGATGAAGAGGGAGAAATGGCAATATAATGTTCCATTTTTTTATTTTTTTTTTTTGGCTCTGTTTTACAAGTTGCTTTAAACCTTCTTCGGCTGGAGCTTGGACTCCACTATCCCAGTGTTTGATTTGACATGCAAATGCAAGCAGGTTGGCTTTCATCCTTTCTTTTCACAAGGAGACCTATTATAGATGTTTTTTTGTCTTTCAGGGGAGAAGCCTTTTAAATGCGAGTTTGATGGCTGCGACAGGAAGTTTGCCAATAGCAGTGACAGAAAGAAACACTCCCATGTCCACACCAGTGACAAGCCATACTTCTGCAAAGTCAGAGGCTGTGATAAGTCCTACACACACCCGAGCTCTTTGCGAAAACACATGAAGATCCACTGCAAATCCCCACCACCTTCTCCTACCCCAGGATCTCATGGGTACCAGCCTGTGGGGACAACCCTGGGTGCCCCCCTTTCCCCACTTCAGGACTCAGGAAGGGGTCAGCCAACCAGCCTTTCTCCTCAGGTCACCAATCTCAATGAATGGTACGTTTGCCAGGCCAGTGGGGTGGCCAACCACCTCCATACCCCATCCAGTAATGACACCTCTTCTGAGGAGGAAGATGAGGAGGAAGAGACTTACGGGAACTCTGAGTCAAGAACTATTCATTAGAAGTCTAGAATGGCATAGACACGTGCCATTTTTGTTAACTTGGTCTATTTATTAACTAAATGAAACCCTATGGTGTTTGTATATGTAATTAATTTAAGTCATTGGACTTATCTCTTTTTTATTTTATTAAAAAAACTTTTTTTAACCAATCTGGATTTCAAGAATGACCCAACACCACATTACTTTTCTGCCCCCACTCCTACCAGTCTAAGGATAATAGGAGAGGTTCAATGCATAGCTTGATTTGCAATTTATGCACAGCCAGTTTGACAGTCCCATGAAAATGTTTTCTAAAATAAAACCAGAAATGTGGCTTATGAATGCAGTATAAGTTAATGGATGCTCTTGATGCCAGGAATCAACTTTATAAGCTTGCTCACCAAGCTTTGGAAGAGTTATTTGTCATTTGTAAAACTGCCATTTATTTTTTATTTTTTATTTTTTTTTACATTCATACAATAGTAATCTCTTTATTTAGTTCACTGCCTTTGGTGTGTTTTTTTTTAATTTCCTCAAGATCTCAAAATGGAGCACATGAATATAATCCTTGAACTGATGTTTGCATCAGACTAACACTAATGTTGAAACTCTCACCATTCCTAGTTATAATTGCTCCTTGAAGGTTAATGCTAAGGGTGCTTAAATAGAAGATTGGGCCATTGCTTTAAATGCTGCTCCCTTCCAGGTAAAGATTGTTGAGGGAAGGAGTGAGTGTTATAATCCCAATTAAAAAAGATTTCACAAAAAGCTGGATTTTCTAGATTGGGTCCCTTATGCTAAATATTTATATTCAGAATATACAGTAATTTGCATTGATCGATTGGCTGGCCTCAGGACCTCAGTATGTTTTTTCATATCTTTAGGTCCTTAGTTTTACATGTGTCATTTTTTAAAATAATTCTAATTTTTAAAACTTTCCTGAACTCTAATTTTGGGACTAGGGGAAAAATAAACTACTGCTAGTGTTGGTGTAAATGCTGCAATTATTTATTATTATTTTAGGCATTCAAGGTACGTGAAAGCAATTTTCTCACTGCTTTCGGTGGTATTTATAGGCAACTATTTTAGCAGGACTCATAAGTTCTCCTTTTTTAAAATATTCCACCCCTGCCTATTTCTTAGTTGAGACCAGGAATCTAAATATACTAGCCACGCTGACTCAAAGTATAATAGATTTATGAGAGAGCAATGTTTGGGAATGGAACCCAAAGTAAAAGGTTGGATCAAACCTCTCCCTCTTGCCAACATCTTTCTTTTGAAAGAGTTGTGATGCTGGAGAAACACATTCTTTCTGAAAGAATATTTTTTACATGAGCCAGCTTTTCATCCTTGTTTATACAAAGGTTTTATAAGGGATTTCATATTTCATACCTGTAATTATATGCAATGATTCAGTGACCAAAGTAAATTGTCATAAATGGATAAATGGAATGGGGTGGGAGTAAAGTAAATTACCTTTGGCCTCGCTGCCAAGCCATTCAAGGAAAAGGTCATGGAACACTGACAGATTCTGATGTGGTTGGTAAAACAGCTCACATGCAAAATGATGGTTCATCATAAACACCCTACAGATTTTCTAAAGAGCACTAATTTATCCTCAGAGATCACTGAATAAGGAATTGGTTGCCTACCTACGATTCCCAGGGCTTGTAGAAATGAGTGGGAGATTTTGTTTTTTTTTATGTGCCCAGATTGTAATATGTAGTCTTGTCATTGTTATAAATTGTTATGTGGAAGTGATTTATTTTGTACAGCTAAATTAATTTATTTTTTTTATTTTTAGATATCATTCCATTCCCCCATCCCCTTTTTCCTTTTTAAAGCATACAGAATACACCAAAGAAGAATATTATACTTTTGGTGAAAACTGTCTATTATTCTGTGGTTTGTTTTGGAGAAAATCTCACCCTATTTTTCAAGTTACTTGAATGAATAATGTAATGTGAAAACATATCCTTTCTGCATGTCTGCTGTGCAGTGTGTTGATGTTTAGTAGTTTATAGATATACTTGTTTTTAGTCCAGTGCATTGTGCTGTCCATCTGAAAGCTTTTAAATGCCCTCATCATGTTGTTATACAAAGAAAAGAAAGGACAGTTTAATATCTATACCTATAAGTATATAAAGGGAACTTGAATACAAACCACTTTTAAACTTATGTTTCCTTGTTTTCCATTTCTTTATTCGGAACCCATTCAGATACTAAGAAAAATAAAATGAAATAAGGCACAGAGTTTCACAAGGTAATTTAAGTATGGACATGCTTTATTTTGGGAAAAATGTCTTGCTGATTTTAAATGCATTATTTTTAATTTATACATTTTATTTTCTTGTCCTTCTCTTGGAAAGAAAAATTGCACTATTACAAGCCCTCGTGTTTTGCTTAATGTGAAACTTAACATCTTTAAAGGTACAGAATTACTAGGCAAAAGATACTTTGTTCCAATGGACTTACTTCCAAATAATTGAGGTTAACATTGGGGCTGTAGTATTCTTTATCTATTGTGCCATGGCTTTCTCAGCATTTTTTTTAATCAGGTAAAGTACCTCCTTCATATCTGTTAATCTGGTCATACATAAGTAAGAAAAGTTAAAGTGAAATAAAAATATTCTTCTTATATCTCACATTTGTGCTTTATTGTTTGAAGAGAGATGAAGAGGACTGATGATAATATGAGCTTCAGTATTTTTCCCATCTTGGATGCAAAAATAAGCATAAATACGGAATAGGATTAAAGCATTCCTAACCAATATTATTTCAAAGGTCTGTGGTACATTATTGTAAAACAATTTGGTACAATTTATTTGACCAACTTAACCTTTAAAATTGACCTTTCAAATTGCAGTCTAAGCCAAGAACGAATGAAAAATCTGATAATGAGTAATATATACCCCTCGCTATTTAAAATATTACAATATGTTTCCATCTAATTATAGTGTGATCACAAACAATGGGAGATAGCTCTTAGAAATTCTTGGAGAAGTTAGGGGAGTGGTTTTAAGGCTTTATTCGCATGACACAAATAAAGCTTCTCCAAACTTATTTCCTAACTGACTGTTCCGAATGTAACGCTGTAATTCTCAGCCCGGGCGTTGAAATGGCCGAAATTAAAAGAGGTTTTGCAAAGGAGATTTCATGTAATTATTTTTAGAAAGCGGGGGCAAGGAGGCAAAGGTGGGGTAGAGATGCCCTGGGTAGAGCTGCAGTCGAGAGGAGGAGTTTGTGGGGCAAAAATAGGTCAGGACAGAGTTCTCCCCCCCTCTCCCCCGACTCATTTATGGGAAATATATCAAAGATGAAAGGTATCTGACAATGAGGAGGCTAAAACAAGTTTTCTCCTCGTTTTCTGCTGGGGGACCCCCCTTCCCCCCCCCAAGTCTATAGAGTTGAAATTGACTACAGCTCATCTCGCCCCACTTCAAAGTAATTCTGGCCGGAGCGGAAGGCTGGGTGCTTGGACAATGTTCATGGTGGGTTAACCTTTCTATGGCGATTGGCGAGCCATGCTTTTCCCATCTGAATATATGGCTTAGACAAAAGGCACTTATTGACAAGGAACTGGCTACCTTCAAAGCCTTCGCCTCTTGTCGGCGGGGGAGAAGCGGCGGCTGGCTCGCTCGCTCGCTCGCTCGCACACAAACCCACCTTTAAATTAGTCTTAGGCCGGCGGGGGAGGGAAAGAGAAGGCGCGGCGGGTGAGAGTGTGTGAGCTTCGCGCCCGTTGTCAGGCCCGGAGCCGGTTTTGTTTTCGTTTGGTGGGCCTTCCCTTCCGCAAAATTTATGCCTTCAGTAGCCGCGGTGCTGAGGAGGGAGAGACATACACAGACTGAAAGGAGAGGGGAGAGGAGGAGGAGAGGGGTGGGGAGAAAGAGAGGGGTGGGGAGGAAGGGAGGGAGGAAGAGAGAGAGAAAAGAAGAGAAGAGAGAGAGAGAGTAAAATAGGACGCACTGCTGAGGAGAGAGAGACAGACTGAAAGGAGGGGTGGGGAGGGAGGGAGAAAGAGACAGAGACAGAGAGAAAGGGAGAGAGAAAGAGTAAAATAGGACGCACTGCTGAGGAGAGAGAGACAGTCTGAAAGGAGGGAGGGAGAAAGAGAGAGAGAAAGGGAGAGAGAGAGAGTAAAATAGGTAACACTGTTGAGGAGAGTCTGAAAAGAGGGAAGGAGAAGAGAGGGAGAGAGGGAGGGAGGGAGGGAGGGAGGGAGGGAGGGAGGGAGAAAGAAAAAAGGAGAGAGAGTAAAATAGGACCCGCTGCTGAGGAGAAAGACAGACTGAAAGGAGGGGTGGGGAGGGAGGGAGGAGGGAGGGAGGGAGAAAGAGAAAGGGAGAGAGAAAGAGTAAAATAGGACGCACTGCTGAGGAGAGAGAGAGAGACAGACTGAAAGGAGGGAGGGAGAAAGAGAGGTGGGGAGGGAGGGAGAAAGAGAGAGACAGAGAGAGAGAAAGGGAGAGAGTAAAATAGGAAGCACTGCTGAGGAGAGACAGTCTGAAAGGAGGGAGGGAGGGAGGGGGAGAGAGAGAGAGAGAGAGAGAGAGAGAGAGAGAATAAAATAGGGCGCACTGGCGAGAAGTCGAAACTCGCTTGCTTCCGCCCGAAGCGTTGACCGCCTGTGTGTGTCTAAGGCCGGCGGATTGCGAACAAACACCTCACCCCGTCCGGCTCCTGCCGGCCCCCGAGTTGCAAAGCGCTAGCTTTGTGCGCTGGGGATGTTCCCGGGTTGGCTCGGTTTCAGACGGAAGGACGCGCGGCCTAGAAACGCCGTCCCGTTCGCCAAATAAGCCCGCGGATTTGCTCTCGGGGCTGGAAGGAGCGAAGGAAGCCGCGGCGTCCGCCTTCTGCCCGGTGCAGGAGCCGAACTTGGTTTACTCGAAATGTTGATGGGGTGAGGGGTCGCCGCGTCAACGGAGAGCCGGCCTGGCGCTTCGCAGAGTGCCGAGTGCCCATATTTTTTTTTTCGCAGGTTCTTTCCAAGTTACACCCTTAGCAGAGCCAGTTCGAGACCAGCCAGACCATGTTGGTTAGGCTTCCCTTGGATAACCTGGGTGTGCGGCTTCGTGGCATTCTCCAGATCGTTTAGCTAGTTTACGGTACCAGTGTTTCCCAAACTTGACAATTTTAAGGCATGAGGACTTCAACTCCCAGAATTCCACAGCCAGCAACGCTGGCTGTGGAATTCTGGGAGTTGAAGTCCACATGCCTTAAAATTGTCAAGTTTGGGAAACACTGCGGTACACTATGAGTTAGTTCAGGGGTAGGCAACCTTGGCTCTTTCATGACGCGTGGACTTCAACTCCCAGAATTCCTGAGCCAGCTATGAAGTCCACGCGTCATAAAAGAGCCAAGGTTGCCCGCCCCTGAGTTAGTTCAATAAACAGGTTTAAGCGGCTTGTGTGAACAGAGCCCGCGATGGATGCTGCCCCACCTGCGACTCCTGGCACAACCGCCGACTTGGGCGTGCGAGTAGACCCGCTTCTCCTACGTGCAGACCCGATATATGTAGAACTACGGTAGCCACCACCATGAGCTACGGAACTGGGCAGCCACAAGACTTTCAGATCTGCCGCTACTCCATTTCGAGTCAATTTCATCTACTGACGCTCAAGCATTTGTGAACTAACTCCGTCCCTCCCGGAGATACTCGCCCCGCTCTAGGAGCTAGGGAGAAGCGGGCTGCTTAGATTACTTCCTCTCGCCAATAACTATTTCTCAACATTTGGTGACTTGGAAATGTTTGTAGGCACCCCAACTGAAAACAAGTGTGTTTTATATCGTAGGAAACCTCTTCTCGGTGGGTGAGCGCGTGTATATTTGAACGCTCTCGGACGGCGTAAATCGAGACAGGCGTTTCTTGCAATCGTCAGATGATGAACTGCAAAAAAGAAAAAAAAGAAGAAGCGGCGTCCGCGTGCCTGCAGATTAAAATAATTAAAAGAAGGAAATACATATGAATAAAATAGAAGAATGCTAGAATTACAATTCTGAGTGTGTTTGGGCGAAACTCCCCCCCCCCTCCGGCCCGCTCTTCTTTGACCCAGAAAAAGCAAGGCGAGTTGTCTAGCTACAGACAGGTTTTAGGCCGTGGGCTCCAACTTCGCGTTAGAGGCTTTGTAGTCCCAAACACCTGCAGGCTATCGGGTTACTTATCTCGTCTATATGCTACAGAAGGGGCTCCGTGGGAAGGGGGATAGTCACGTGACGGAGAACTGCAGAGGGGCAGTTGTGCGTGTATACCTCGATGCACGTTGGTTAGACTCACCAAGGGATATTTTAGGGTGCTTTGTGCGCTGTTACGGTCTCCCTTTTGTATTGTTTTGGTTAGACCTCTTAGGTTCGGATGGGGTAATCTTTCTGATGCCCGGGGGGGGGTCCTTCAGAGGCTTTGGACGGGGTCAGAGATCACACTCCCCAAAGTCAGTGGGGCCCCAGTTTAAAAAAAAAAGGGCACCGGGGTTCAAGCCTTGGCCCCTTTCTCTCCCTCTGCCTCTGCCGCAACAAAGAGCCCTGCAAAATGTCAGACGCAGGCAGACAGACAGACAGGCGTCTCCCTCCTGCTCACCACCGAAGCTACTCCGCTCCCTCCGAGCTAGAGGAGAGCCGTTAAGGGAGGCGGCGCAGGGGTTGCGCCTCGGCGCGGATGCGCGGCCCTGGCTAAGGCAGTGTTTCTCAACCTTGACAATTTTAAGGCATGTGGACTTCAACTCCCAGAATTCCACAGCCAGCATTGCTGGCTGTGGAATTCTGGGAGTTGAAGTCCACATGCCTTAAAATTGTCAAGGTTGAGAAACACTGGGCTAAGGGGAAAGGGGACAAGCCCGGGAAGCAGAGCGGGCAGCAAACTTTGGAAAAAAAAATCAAACCTATTCCTAATCCCCGGAGCAGCCTCTGCCCTCGTCGACGCAGGGCAGGGCCGAGAAGGCCGAGTGGCTCCAAGCAGGAGCGGCGGTGGCGCAAACCCACGGAGGGCATCCATCTGCCGGGCTGAGACTCCCGGTCCCTTGGCTCCAGGGAGAGGCTGCGGAGGAGCCCTGGGTTGCTTCCCATCTTTCCCCAGCAGCTAGCATCGTTCCCCCACGTTCCCGGGGGTGCGGGGCTCGCGCGGCCTATAGCAGAGATGCGCGGAGGCCTTCAAGGTGGGAGAAAGAGAAAACGAGCCTCCGAGTGCGCGGGGGAGGGACGTCACGTAGGTACGGGCAGACACGGGAACGGGCGCGTCTGGGGACACCAGGTGCATTTAATTAGTTAGTCTGCTCCGGGGGACGGAGCGAATGCGCGGTATTGATTAGGCTGCGCTCCTTCCCACGATCTGACGTTCAGGCTGGGCAACCTCCTCCTCCTGCACCTCTCCAGCTTCCAGTTCCCTGGGGGTTTCTGGGAGAGCAGGAGCTCCCGCGCTCCTTCCCCTTCCCGCAGACGGACCCTCCGGAAACCCTCTCCCCCTCTTCCCCGCCCCCCGCTCTCCTTTTTTTTGGGTGGGGGGCGCTAGTGCCGATCCAGGGCAGGCGAAGTTCAAAGGCGGGTTCTCTTTCGGCCTGGAAAGGGGCCGCGTCGCTCCGACGAAGCGCCGATTCGCGACACCCCATTAA